GCCCCACACTCCCAAATTCCTCGTTCCCACATGCCCAGTTGCCACATTGCCCGTTCCCAGGCTCACCCCAGGCGAAGATCCCGGGCTCCGGCATTCCGGCGTGCTCCACCCGGCACCGGTACTGCTCCCGCTCCCCCGGCAGTGCCTCGATCCTGGCCCAGCTGTGGAAGGTGCCGTCGCTGTTGGGAACGATCCCGCCCCACTCCGTCTCCTGATCCCGGATTTCATCCCCCTTCATCCAGTTGATCGCGATGATCCCGGGGTAGAATCCGTACGTGTGGCAGGACAACGTCAGGATCCCGTGTTCCTCTTTCCCGGACACGTGGACATCAGGGGGCTCTGGAATGGGATAACTGTGGGATCCATCCATGGAATTCCCATAGGAATGGGATTGGGGTAAGATCCATCCACAGAATTCCCACTAGAATGAGACAACAGTGGGATCCATCCATGGAATTCCCATGGGAATGGGATTGGGGTGGGATCCACCCACAGAATTCCCACTGGAATAGGACAACAGTGGGATCCATCCATGGTATTCCCATGGGAGTTGGATGACTCAGATTCATCCACAGAATTCCCACAGGAATGCCCATGTTCCTCAGTTCCACCCTCCCAAATCCCACATTCCCAAATCCCACATTCCCATGGGAATTCTGTCTCCCTCACCTTTGTGCTCCAGCGCCTCCTGCCCATATCCAACAAATTTCTGGAGCCATTCTGCACATCTCAGTCCCAGGTCTTGTTGAAGATCCTCGTACCCTTCAGATTTCCATTTCCTCTGGGTGATCTGGGCAGCTCCATCGGCCGCCACGAAGGTCCCGCTCTCCGGGGAGAAGGAGATGAAATCCCGCCCGTCATAGCCAACTCGAAGGGTTCTGCGGACGCTCCCATCGGACAGGAGGTCACAGCCAGAAAGCCGCTGCTTTGTGTGGAGACCTGGGGAGTGGGATCAGATCTACAGAGACCCCTGGAATTGTGTCCCAGCCCCATGGAGCCCCATTCCAGCCCTATGGAGCCCCACAGTCCACTGGAGATCCACAGATCCCATCCCAGCCCCTTGGAGTGCCCTGGATCCCCATCCAAGCCCCACACATCCCATCCCAGCCCCTCACATCCCATCCCAGCCCCACAGATCCCATCCCA